AAAAATTCAGGGATCTCGAAAGAAACTTCAACAGACTCGCAGCCGCCAAGAACAACGTCTCCATCAGAGTCTTAGGCAGGCGAAGGATATGACCAAAGTTCATGGCGATCTTCTTCAAAGAGCTGCTCCCTAGGGAAAGGTGGGCATGCCAGGTCATTACACGTAGCGAAACTTTTTTCAGGTAAATACTAATTATTCTCTTGGTGACGTGTGATGGGGAGGAATTGATGAAACGTAACAAGACTGCCCGAAATCTTAGCTGGGGAATAGCGTAGCAGATGTAGATCATGGCGTGTTTTACGACTTTCTTTGGTGTTACTGCGATTAACATGGATACTAATGCTTTGCTCATTACTATTACGCGAGTAGCCGCGGTCTTCAGGGTAGTGTTGAGGCTATGCCAAAAGATGACGATTGATATGGATAGGTAGTGAAGAATTGTACTCAAGAATAAAACGAATCTATTTAGATAGAACTTTAAATTCGAAGATAGTTCGCCTAGTATGGACTTTGTGATGTGGCATTTCTTGTGATGCTTTTGTTCTGCAGTCTTTGATTTCAATAAAAGGGTTGATTTCCTTTCGTCTGTTTGCTTTATTTTCTCTGACTGCGAGAAAAAACTCTTACTTTCTAGTTTCCTTGTTTTTTTCTGTAATAATAAATCAGTTTCATTTTCTTGGAGTGTTTGTGGTTCACTTTGTTGTCTGGTAAATAAAATACGTACAGACATTCCCCCTCCATTTTCTGATCTGTAAAAACGTTTACTCTCTTTTTCCAAAGTTTCCTCTATTTTCTCTGAGGACTTGAAGCTATTTCTTTTTGATGTTTTTTCTTCTTTTTTATGTGAATGCTTGAAGGAATTCATGCTTTTAAAGCTTTCCTTTGGGACGTTTCTTCAGTTTTCCTTGCAAATACAGAGAAACCAACTGGTTTACTAGAAAGCAGTAATGTATCTTAATTTCTTTCTTGAATCAAAACAGCTTTTATTTTTCGGGTTTTTGTCCGTTGTATTTGATTTCTCAGAGACAATTCAACTTCTGCTATCATTAAAATATTCTTCGGTTACCGATGAATCTCATTATGTTTAGTAGCTTCTCTTGCGTTTTACAGTATTTGTTTGCCTGAAGAAGCTCGTGAGACGTTGCTTCTTTGTTCGTGTTCCACTGACTGATTAAGAACAAATGTATATGCAGACTCTTTGTGCAGTAAGGCCCAGGCAACCTTGGAATATGGACTGGTTGGTGTTTTCTTAGTACATATGTTTTGACTTTGGGGGACGTGGTGGAGCTCCACGTTGAGGCCTGCAGGAGAGGAAAAGAACCAAGATTAATAAAACATTCACTGGCCACTAGAAAACTTGCACATTTCATTGATAAATAAACATTACAGTTTCCGTCCTGATCTGTTAACATTAAAAATACTGTATTCTTTAAGCAAGTAGAGTCATTGTGCATCTCAAGCTGATGTACAGTACTGCATTGTGCGCTTTATAGTGGAACTTGAAGAAATAAACCAGCGATATCCACCCACCGCAGAAAGACCGGATAATATAGTGAAGGATCGTGAGGACCAGCACACGGTAGTATATAAAAGAATGAGAAAAAAATGAGTGACTTGTCAACCAGTATGTCACCGCGATCTTACCAGATCAACTCTCAGCTATTTTCCTATGTTATACAACCATTGGGAGTTGAGCAATAATCTACTGCCTATCATCCTGAGTAAGAGGGAGCATTGGAACAATGTTACTCAGGAGACCATATTACAGATTATCTTCCTAATCAACAAAACGCCCTTCTCGCAAATTCAGCGGACCCTACCAAGTGCCAAAGAAACTGAGTCCATTTTGGAGCTATGATTGGAACAGACAGCCATCCTTTTATCATTATAGATTATTTTAATGGTTGCCCCGTGTTCGAGGATGGCCGGCCCGATGGGACCCTAGGGGTCCTGGGGACCTAAGGTGGCCCTAGGCAAGGGCCACCTTAGGTGTGAATTTATTTAAGTTGTTGAAGCTGTCGCCAGTACAACAGCCACACCCTAGGATAACGAGCTGTATGACCCAGTGTCACGGAATAATCCAAGAAGACCGGACAACTCGTCAACTACACTGGCTATCCAATACCCCAGAACATGAAAAGCAAAGCGATTAACATCCAGGTCCCTAGTTACTGCTGGGTAGAGAGAGGCAAAGCCCGTAAAGAAATGTGCCCATATTTTCACCTAGCACGAGGATCGAACCATGGTCCACTAGCTTGCAAAGCGATCATGCTGACCGGTACACATACACACACACACACTAAATTGGGATAATTACCTAACCTACCCTAATCTACTTTAGATATAATTGTGCTATCTTATAATAGTAAACGACGCCTTAAATGGAAAAAATAATTACCATATACGAATTAATTTTCATTGAGTTAAAGCAATAAAAAAATATCCGTATTCAGCATAAACTTCAGTTGCTTTTGAAGGTTTAGTCGGCAATTTTCCCTATTCAGCCACAGCTCAAGAGAAAGTTATATGTATCTATACAGTATATACTCACAAGTTCACATATAGATCTTCATCATCATCTTGGTCTTTGGCGGTCTGGTCCTGGTTGTAAGCTTGGTCCTGTGAGCCTGGGTACTGGTCCTGTGAGCCTGGGTACTGGTCCTGTGAGCCTGGGTACTGGTCCTGTGAGCCTGGGTATTGGCCTTGTGAGCCTGGGTACTGGTCCTGTGAGCCTGGGTACTGGCCCTGTGAGCCTGGGTACTGATCGACCTCCACGCCCCCTTGTTGATAGCTTGGATACGGTTGGTAGGCTTGTGAGGGTCCGAGCGTTAGGTTTTCGGGTTCATAGCCTGGATTTGGGTGTGTTTCTAAGTTCCCTTGGTATCGAGAATATCCCTGAATTCATTACAAGAAACAAAAAAGATTAGATTCTCATTAAAGTGTTTAGTATCATTGACTTTGATTCTCATGGTTAGGTTAGGATAAACTTGGCTAGGTTAGTTTAAGTTGACTTGGGGTAAACTGGGTTAGGATCGGTTTGGTTGGGTTATATTAGGTTGGAGGAGGTTAGGTTGAGTTAGATTAGACTGGGGTAGTGGGGTAGGTTTGGTTAAGTTGAGTTAGGTTATGTTAGGTCAGGGGTAGATTAAATTAGGTTGTATAGTAGGTTAAGTCAGGAGAAGGTCAAAGGATAGGTGTAGGTTTAGACTAGGAATATGTTGGGTTAGAAGTAGGTAAGTTCGGAGTAGGTTAGGTGAGGAGTAAGGGTAGGTCAAGTTGGGATAGGTTAAGGCTTGCTAATCTTTGGAATCACCAACTCTTAAAAAAAAAAAATTTAATGAATCCAACTATACACTACCCCATAACAAAGTACAAAATAGAAATGTGAGAAAAAAAAAATATGTTTCTGGAAGTATAAAGAAATAAATGACCATAAGTACAGCACAGTACTTGAAAAATAAATTGTTCCATAAATCTAAAAAAATTACAGAACATCTAGGAGACTTACCGCACGCGAGATAGTAGAGTCTACATTATCTGAAATACGAAAACATTAATAGAATATGGGAAGTTTTATCTTATATTTTTCATGCATTACTGAGAAGAGAAAAAAAAATGACGTACTGTATAGTTCCCCCCAAAAAGTATCGTTAGATTTTCCGTCGCGAGTTTGAAATGCTAGACGAAATGCTTTGATGAGCCCTAGTGTATCGTCTTAAGTTGGTACGCCTGCTTGCCATATCAGCAATAGCTATAGACGGGGTTAGGATTGGGGAAGGAAGTCGTCTTTGTATGGAATACTAGATACTTTAATATAAAATAAGAAATCCACTAGGCTATATTAATGTATGTATCATTCGAAAACGTATATTATATAGTCATTCGTGCTCAAAGGTAGCGGCGGATGTAGAAAAACCAACCGTTCAGAAACATGTCGAGTAAAATGCTCGGAAAGCCTCGAATCACGTCGACTCCGTGGCTAACGATACTTTTTTGTGGGACTGTACATCTCTCCCTGTCTCAAAGTCTTCATGATATTGTTTATAGATGATGCAAGAAATAGTCATATGTGCATGACTAGCAGAAGGTAACTCATATTTACTAAAAAATAGCAGTTAGTAACTCACTTGTAGGTGACAACTCACATAATTATACACTCGTCACTATCAGTTAGTACCTTAGTTATGCACATTACTAGCAGACGGTACCTTAGATAAATGCATCACTTGCTGTTAGTAACTCCGATTCAAGTAAAACTAGCAGTTAGTTACTCAGATACAATCCCATTAACAGCCGATAACTCTTATACACATACTACTTGCAGCAGCTGGGAACACACCATTAATAGCTGGTAACTTATTCCCAACAATTGGTAACTTACTGCTACCATCTGGTAACGCAGACTATGCAGCTGATAACACAACAACTAGGAGCGGGTAACTTACCAATGGTAGCTGGTAAACACAACTACTAGCAGCTTGTACCTCTCCCCTCCTTAAGTGCGTCGCAAGTGTTGACTGGGGGTAAGTCGTGTGTGTGTGTGTGTGTGTGTGTGTGCGTGTGTGTGAGAAAGTGTACGTGAGTAGAGATGGACGAGGGTAAAGGTGGGGCTGTGGACTGAGGGAGACGGGGGGACAGGATGTTGTGATGATAACTCGCAGTCATCGTCGCCCCCGTCATCCCTTCACTAACACGAAGGAGAGAGAGACGTTCAAAGAGACAGAGATAAACAAATATCAGATAGAGAGATAAAGATAAACAGACAGGCAAGGAGGCAGACAGACTCATCGTCGTTTCAACTGGAGACAGGACCCGGGGCTAGTTGACAGGTAGAGAAATATACGACATGAGAAAGATACAAAAGCGATTTAGGAATCAGAAACAGAGAATGGTAGAATTAAACTCGGAGAGAGAAAGGATACACTGCAATAGTTACATAAACACAAATGAATCGTTGGATAACATACTGTCACAATCTTGGAAAATATTCTTGTCTCTAATACACCTATTTGTTTTGTAAGGCTAAGTGCTGACCCCATAATAACTTACTTCTATAATTTGAATTCCTTTTACAATGCAATCTGAGGGCCATCAATATACTGTACTCGATAATCGGTGGTAGACAGACAGACAGACAGACAGACAGACTTACCGTAGACGTCCGAGTTCCTGAAGGATGTGTAGTTGATTTTCTTGCTGTACCCGAAGCGGGTCCCCCTTGGCTTCAACAGCGTCACAATCCGCCCCTGCTAATGGAGAAGTTAAGTCGTCAGACAGCCATATGACTGAGTCGTTCGCAAGCCATTTGGGTAGTCAAGGATCAATACAGAGCCAGTGACGTATTTTTACGTTACTAAGATAATTAAGGGGTGTGTGGGTCAAGTGGATACAACGCTTGCCTTGCGTCTTGCTCCGTGGGTCTGCGGTTGGTCCTGGGGCACTCCCAGTCCACCCAGCTGTAAATGGGTCCCTAACTTTACAAGATGGGAAAGTTAAGGTGGTCGAGTGCAGTACTGGCCATGCTGACTCCTTGAGTACCGAAGGCTTAGTATACAGTGTGCTGTAACCTCACTATTCCCAATAGGCAGTCATACCTATGGGATCTATACAACATACTAAGATAATTAAGGGTGCAGTTGACGAACGGATAAAGTCCCTGCCTCCCGAATCAACGGTCGTTGGTTAAGAGACTTGTTGCCGAACACTGACTGGGGCGCCCCCAGTCGATTCGGCTGCAGAATGGGCTCCTCACTTTGCAGTTGATAAAGTGAATTGTATATTGGGTTAGTTTATTGGTAGCCACCTAGACTTCAGTTTCACTTATTAATTCTGCCCCTAACGGGTCTTCAGATGTGTGGAATTCATTTGAATTTTTAACAGAAATTTGGATGGATCAGGAACATTATAAAATTTAATTTGGGAATTAAAGTTTCTTATGGAAACAGTATAATAGGTAAGGAACATTGATTAACATAGTGACTTCTTAATGGTCTTTCGTGAGTTTTTGGTGCCAATTGGTTTCACGGGTCATTAGGGATCTAGTTGGGTAAGTAGAGGCTATTAGGAGGGCAAATACGTAATTAACGTGTAGAAGAAGTCTTAGGAAGGGAATAGTGTTCTTTTTATGAGTTTTAAAGACCATTTTGGTTAGTAAAGAGAGTCAGAGAATTACATGGTGCCAGGTTGCTGATCTTTGACTTTCTGTTTCCTTTACACACAATTGTTGGGTCTCACTTGTTTCTTTTAATCCTTCCCCACAGGTGGCGAGCACTGTGATGCCGTACTTCAAGTGGACATTAAGGAGTACTTAAGGAGGTCGTGGAATCAACTGAGTGGCTAAGGGCAGTTGACGTTCTAAATGATGACTGTTGAACTAAATGATCGTTAGGGGTAGGTTGAGAAATTTATTTGATTATATACTATTCTAACAAGCTCTTGTACCATTTATTATCAAAAACACACCTGTAGTGAACATTTTCGTCATTTTAACAAACACCTGGGCTCTCTAATTGATCTAAAAATTTCCTATACCTTTTAATTGTTCCCCCAAATACCTAAATTTCTGATTGTCTAACCAACATGTGCCCCTAAAATAGGTTCCTCCCAAATCGTGAGTTCCTTGGCTGTTTTTCAAGACGCTTGTACTGTACTTCCTAGTTGTTCCAGCAAATATGTATACTCGCAAGGTGGGGTCCGATAGATGTCAAAATGAACAATAAGACTCCTGTTGTCTCGGTAGAGGTGTCAAAATCCTTCGCCCGTTGTGTCATATTGTCTAGCATAAAATTTTGCAGATACTTTTTGCAGCGAGTGTACAGTACATTATGTGTCTACCGTGTCCCCATAAATCTATAGTTTCTAAATATTACATTAAAGTTATGAATAATTCTGATTCTTCTATCACAAACACACTAGAAAAATTTAATAGTCATTCTGCCAATTTTTTATTTATTTTCTTATGATTCCGAGAAAAAACCTAAACTTTTTTGGTGATTTTAACGTATACATCAGTTAAAGGCATAGACTTTCTCTTCTTACTAATAACTTTCATCAACTCTCTCACTTTAACTATGACTGTATTTACCCACTCACTCTCTCTCTCTCTCTCTCTCTCTCTCTCTCTCTCTCTCTTACCTGGCGAGATGTCGTATCCATTGGCCTCATCTCTATGTCACCGGTTGACTGAGCCTCGTTTGACACCTCTGTTGGTTCAAATGAGGAGATACAAAATTAATATAATTACTGGGAACACACACACACACACACACACACACACACACACACACACACTCACACATTGCTGTAGTCTACATTATGTTCGGTGTAAAACTAATGCCATAATCACTGAAAGTACTCTGAAATAAATTACAAGATTAGTAAACTTCTTCTACAAACAGGATAGACTTAAAGGAAGACATGAACCAGTTTGGAGGAGGACATGAACCGGTTTGGAGGAGGACATGAACCGGTTTGGAGGAGGACATGAACCGGTTTGGAGGAGGACATGAACCAGTTTGGAGGAGAACATGAACCAGTTACAGATAAGAAAAATAAACTAAAAATCATAAGGGAAAGACGAACGTATAGACTATAATTACAACTGAGAAGTAATAAGACAAAATCAAGCGAGAGACAATACTTAAACTAGACACTTGCAATTGAAAAGCAGGATACCAAATCGATTATTATGCTCATCTAAATCCAGTTTAAGTTGAATTAAATTTAGTTAAGTTCATTCTAAGGAAGTTGGTTAGAATTTAACAGCCTGTGACAAAGGAATTAATTTTTCTCTGCCAGTAAATGAATGGGTAAGTCAATGACGTACAGACGTAAAGAGAAGCTAATGTACTGTAGTGATGTTGGAAAGACTAAAACAATGATATAACGACATAAACAAGACCCTGAAGAATAATATCAAGAGGTGCACTTGTGAGGCAGACAATACTCACCTATTATCTCCTGGTCTTCGATGGTCAAGACGTTGCCGAAAACCTCTTTCACTTGATCAGGGAATAAGTAAGAGAGACCCCAGATAATTACACCTGTCGCCATGCAGAGGACACCTACGGCCAGGGAGAAGGTCGAAGTGAATGGCAGTACATATGGCCTATTGAACACCAGTATTTCCTAGCCGGAAACTTGGTAAATTAAATGGGGGAATAAAAGAGTTAAGAATATCCTCCATATCTTCATGAACAGATGCCAGTAGTGAAATCAAGATCCTGAATCAAATACAATTGTTGATGCAGTTAAAATGTCTGTATTTACTCATTTCGTTAACTGGAGATAATGGAATGTAGTGCCAGACTATTGTTTCTGTTAGTGACTTATTTCTCTCTCTTTCATATTTTCAGCTGCTTCTTACCCGTCACTAGTGCCAGGTACCAGTGGATGCCATAAGTGGTCCTCAAAATGCCGTTAGGAGGGGTAAACGGCACCGCTAATTCAATAAAATTCCTGTTGCTAGACCATATGAGGGCTGAGATAGTGAGGGAAGAGCCGGTCATGAAGAGGAAGATCGCCCCGTAACTGATCACCATCTTGAACAGAATCAGTGTCAGGATCCACAACGCGAATGATAACCTGAAGAAAAGTTATACAATGAAGAGAACGACATTAATAGATGACAAGAAAAAAATACATTGATTAACGAATAACAAGTAATTAGCAAGAAGGCAGTAATGAGCTTAACGGTCGGTAACAAATCATACGATATATGATAAAAAAAAAAAGTTACACATTTACCACTCAGTCAGGACACCTAAAGCGAGCACAAGTAGTATTAAGTGACGGGATACAGCTGCGGCCTCTCTCCTGATATATAAACAAGAGGGCAGGAATGTACTGTACGACTTATAAGGAAACAGAGATAAACTAAAAAGATGCAAGGTGTGAGGCGAGCACGTACAGTACAAGAGAAGTAAGCACGTAAAAAATGAACTGTGTCTGTACAAGCAATGTGTGTACTTTACAGTGAACCGATAACGTACAATGTTCCGTGCAAGTATATATTATGAAGCTGTGGTATAAATGATCCGTACGCATACATACGAGCTGTGAACGTACACATAAACTGTGTACTTATAAATGATCCATGTAAGTATAAGTGAATCACGGTCGTACAAATGAGCCGTGTACGTAAAGGACAAGAAAATGACGGACGGAAGCCACATCCGGCAGTGTCCTGTGCTCTAGTTTGATAAAAGTATAAACGTGTCTAAATAATTATCTGCCTAACTTCTCTAGCATGAGCGAGCTGCGAGTTATTATGTACTGTAGATGTCGGGGTGTGGCTGTCGGGGTGTGGCTGTCGGGATGTGGCTGTCGGGGTGTGGCTGTCGGGGTGTGACTGTTGGGGTGTGGCTGTCTGGGCATGACAATCAGACTGTGGCTGTCAGGGTGTGGCTATGGTTTAGTAAGATTGTATAGACAACGGTTTTAGTTTAGCGAAATTCAGCCACACAGAAACTGTTGTGTAGTCTGGAAGAATCAGTAAACCTTCTTGCTCTGGGTTTTGTATCTTACATGCCTGTTGTTACAGTACTGCTGCTAGATGATTGCTGTTACAATACTGCTGTTATGGCTGCTGGTACAATATTTATTGAAGTGACGAGCAGAATTTATGAGTTTAATTACAAGTAAATCACCTACCTTTATGAGTGTCTATATATGTAAAGTGACTTGACCAATTTATAAAAGAACTATATCTTTCTTATGTTTTCTGCCGTGGAAAACAAACGATTCTTATTAAGTTTTATATAAAATACATTTAACAATCACTATTTCGAATACTGTTAAATGCTTCACCCAAAACGATAGGCTATTTGGGTATTCAATCTCTTTATAGTTTGATTCTGTCATATAATCATTACCTTGAAACTTGTTGTCATATGATTTCAAACGTTGATTTATTATTTTTATGAATTTATCTTTGGAAGGGAAGCATTTAAAACAGGCAGAGAAACAGCAACAGCTCACAGTGAGGTCATCCCATGCACTCAGACATACACAATGAAATGGAGTACCAGCAACACCTACCAGATGAAGATGTGGGAGTACCAGCCAGAGGTGCGGTAGAAACGGCCGAAGCGGATGCCCTCTCCGTCGAAGGTGAAGTACTCGGCCACCCACAAGATAGGAAGGGGGAGGCCTTTTTGTTGTGCCGCGCGGAAGTTACGCTGCATCTCCCCAGCTGAGACAGACAGAGAGAGAGAGAGAGAGAGAGAGAGAGAGAGAGAGAGAGAGAGAGAGATAGATTAATGGTAATTCCTCAGTATACGTTAGAATTTTACACTTATACTACACGCTGAGAGGAAATAGAAACATTCAAAATGTGATTGATGGGTAGAAATTGATGAGGGACTGTTGGTGGTTATGAGTGAGTGAGGAAAATGAACAGGTGTCAGATGATTCAACGTTAAAACAGAGGATATGAGAGGCATATTTTGGGGGGATTTATGGGGAACATGGAGAGGGATAAGAGCTGAGGACATAAATGGGTGATGGAGGGGATTAATGCTAGAAAATAAAGAGGTGTAAAAGAGGCCATAAGAGGTTTCTAATGGGAACTAATGGTGGAGATAATAAAGATAGGTAATAATGTGGGAAATAAGAGTTGTACAGTGCGGGAAAAAAGTGGAGGAGGGTGAGAGAGATCTTACCGAAGGGTCCAAAGCCAGCTCTTCCCTGGGCCCACTCCCAGGAAAACCTTTCATTGTAGTCGATCTCTTCCCCCTTCAAGTCCTCTTCAGGTTCCTTCAGGGCTGTGTTGGGAAGACCAGGTTATCAGAAATTACTACACAAGTCATACCAACTAAGAAGTGTCAATATACTAAGGTTATATACTCTTGGAATATACAGATTAAGTATGCGTGAATATATAGTTATAATTATATTCAATGGGTGCAGTGAGTGGATACAGCACTCGCCTGCTTTCCCAAGGGTCGTTGGCTCGCGCTTGGAGCCCCCCCCCCCCTCCCTCCCTCCCCCCCGTCGTTCAGACTGTAAAATGTCGGCCACACTACTGAAGGCAAAGTATTGACATAAGAACATAAGAATGGAGGAAACTGCAGCGGGCCTATTGGCCCATACTGGGCAGTCCCGTTTACACCCAACCCCTATTGCTCATATAAGCATCCAACCTATGTTTGAAGCAATTCAGCGTATTCGAGTTAATGATGATATTTGGTAACTTGTTTCATTCATCCACTACTCTGTTTCCAAACCAGTGTTTACCTATTTCACGCCTAAATCTAAATTTGTCTAATTTAAAACCATTGTTACGAGTTCGCTCCTGGTTGGATAGTTTGAGTACCTTTGTAATGTCCCCTTTGTTTAGCCCTGACTTCCACTTTCACACCTCTATCAGGTCGCCCCTCGCTCTACGTCTCTCGAGGGAGTGCAAATTAAGACGCTTTAACCTGTCTCTATACTCAAGGTTCCTAATGCTCGGGATTATTCTTGTCATTCTCCTCTGAATTCTTTCCAATGATTCTATATCCATTCTGTAATACGGTGACCAGAACTGAACTGCGTAATCCAGGTGTGGTTTCACAAGCGCAAAAAGATACAGTTTTAGGATGACCTCGCTAGTCTTGTAACTAACACTCCTTTGTATGAACCCAAGTACTTTATTAGCCTTGTTACGAGCAAAAACACATTGTTTACTTGGCTTAAGGTTCCTACTTATCATTACTCCTAAATCTCTCTCTCGGCCGGATTTCTCTATGGCATCCTTGTTCATCTGGTATCTGGTTTCCCTGTTTACATCTCCTATACTGAGTACTTTACATTTGTCCACGTTGAATTTCATCTGCCATTTTTCAGACCATTCGAAAAATTTGTTTAGATCTTCCTGTAGTTTTGCGGAGCCCTCGTCAGATTTAATAACACGTCCTATTTTAGTGTCATCAGTAAATTTACTTATGTTGCTGTCTATGCCGATATCTATGTCGTTTATGTATATAATAAATAATAATGGTCAAAGTACTGAGCCTTGGGGAACTCCACTTGTGACGTTGCTCCAATGGGACTTAATGCCGTTAATGCTCACTAGCTGTTTCCTGTCCTGTAACCACGCCCTAATCCATTTAAGGATGTTACCTTTGATGCCATGTGCTTCTACCTTTCTAATTAGTCTTTCGTGGGGGACTCTGTCGAAGGCTTTGGTAAAGTCGAGAAATACCACATCATAATTGTGCCCCTCGTCCACCGATTCGAAAACTGATGAAAAGAATGTTAATAGATTAGTAGACAAGAACGTCCACTTGTGAAGCCAAGCTGGGAATCATTGATCAATCGGTGCTTCTCCAGGTGATTTCGTATAGTTTGAAATGATTGCTTCCAGTAATTTGCCTACTATTGATGTTAGACTGATTGGGCGGTAGTTAGAGGATAGTGATCTATCCCCCTTCTTGAAAATCGGTATTACATTCGCTATCCTCCAGGATTCTGGTACTACACCTGTTTTTAAGGACATGTTAAACAACTTTGCTAAGGGCATACTAAGCTCTTCCTTACATTCCTTTAATACTCTGGCAAATATCTCATCGGGACCAGGTGACTTATTAGGCTTTAGTTTGTCTATTTGCTTACTAACATCGTTACTAGTCATTACTATGTCGCTTAATTTGTTAACTTCACTATCTCTGAATATAGTCGGTGCCTCAGGTATCATGTTTAAATTTTCAGTGGTGAAAACTGTTGAAAAATATTTATTCAAATTATTGCTCATTTCTCCGTCGTTATCAGTGAGCTCGCCAGTATCTGACCGTATTGGTCCAATCTTTTCTCGTGTTTTAGTTTGATACATTTGGTAGAATCCTTTGGGGGTTTGTCTTCGCCTCCCTTGCTATCCTTACCTCATTATTCCTCCTGGCTTTCCTTATCTCGGTTTTAACCCTACTCGCGAATATCTTATAATAATCCTGGAGGTAAATTTCGCCACGCTTTATCCTTCTACCTATAGCCTTCCTTTGGCCAATGATGTTCTTTCAATAATTATTTATCCATTTAGGGTCATTATTGTCTGATCTGAGTTTTTTGTATGGTATGTTCTGCCTTTGTGCATTTAGTAACTCATTATTTAAATTGTCGTGGAACTCGGCAATCTCAGATCTCGTTATGAGGTGGGAGTCATCTGTCAGGTTCACGGCCAAGCATTCAATGTGTTGCATCCGCAGTTCCACTATAGGACAGACTTGTGCCCTTTTATAATCAAGAAAATTATGCAGGTCGTATAAATCTGAAAGCACACCGAAGGCTCACATTTACATGAATATATATAAAGGTTATAAACACCTTGGAATATACAGCCCTATGAAAACTCAAGAGTCCTAAGTTATACGACTAAAGAACCAGGAACATACTCCAGCCAACCGTTACTAATACTTGTACACTACCATGAATATGGATACATCATACACACTGCAACCATACATAGATAATACATGGTTGAAAAAAAATTATACTTATGAAAATTAAACGGATGAAAAGAATGCTGTAAAGAGAAAGGTGTTAAGGCCACTACTGAAAGAACATACAGTACATGCACTTCTCTCTTTCTCACACACACACGCGTTTAGGGGTGATTGTTAAGAGAATGCTCAAAACTTTCTCTTTCACCCTCAGGCGTGATATTGAAAGTGCACAACCTCTCTCTCTCTCTCTCTCTCTCTCTCTCTCTCTCACCTTTGAGCGTTATGTTTACAGAGCGAAGTCCTAACTTGACTCCCACTCGAGCCTCTATCTCTGCTCCCGAGCCAGCCTTATAAGGGGTTAAAGTGTCCACCTGTCCTTCCTCCCAGTTCTGGCCGAAGTTACAAGCTATTGTGAGAAAATTGATGAAGTTAGTGACATAAATGGGGTTGAAGGGGAAAATGAGAATAAATGGGGAGTAGAAATGGGGTTAATGAAGAAATAAATGAGAGTTAACTCGAATAAAGGTATGCAGCGTATGGCACAAGACATAATGTTAATAGTGGTATCTAAAGGGAATCTTAAATCATAGTAAATGGTAGTTTAAAATAATATAACATGGTGATAAGGGGAAATTTAATGATTAGAACAAATAATAATACCTGGGCCTCTAATGGGTACAACAATTGGCAACAATAATTAAATTAAACAACGTTAAAGGTGTATCTAATGAGCCGTAAGTAATGCTAATATAATAAAAATAAACTTATGTAAATGAAAGGATGAATCATATATATATATAATCAACACCTCAACCCGCCAGGACTTGAACCCACGGCCCACAAGCCTATGACTGTGACCGGGGAACGCTAACAGCTGGACCACCAGGATACTAAAAGCAGTCCTAGACTTTGTTATATTTCACACAAAGCCTGTTCAACGAGCTTATGGCGCCGTGAACCTCTAATGGGGACCACCCGTATCACGTAGGTGGTCAGAGTAACGTTTTACCAAATCCGGCTTTATTGGGCTATATATATATATATATATATATATATATATATATATATATATATATATATATATATATATATATATATATATATATATATATATATATATAATGGAAACGTGGACAAGATAAATCTCGATAAAGTCACACAGGAAAAGGGAAACACTGGAGCACCTAAGCATTCGGACAGTAGAGGAGTTATCCTGACAAGCTAACAGAAGAATATTCTCTGAAGGACGAAATAGGACTTACCACAACTGCAAAGTGATAAAGAGAGTAAAACTGTATAACCTTGACTGCCACAGTCTGTCCTCCCTGACACGGGTGAACCACCTCCGACAATCGCCGTGGTAATATCTCAGTCGGGGAAGATTTTTGGTTCTTGCCCGGACCACCCGGGGGTCCGTGGTCAATAGTAATACCAAGGTGCACAACCTTGGCACCCATATGATGTGTGTGTAAAGTTTAAGGTCTCTAACTGCTTCCGTTTTGGAGCTGTGGCTGGAACATACAGACACGTCCTATATCATTATATACAGATATATAATATACCAGGTATATACTCACCCATTATCACCAAACCCAAACCCAGAGCCGCCGTGACACGAATGAAGTGGTAGACCATCTGTGGGTAAATCAAGTATCAATATTTCCGCCTTTCTCTGCCACGACGGTAAATGTCCCAATAAGACATTCAAAACAACGAAAAAATATTAACAATATATAATTTAAGATTTGAGAGAAAAAAATGACATTACTGCTGTAAGGTAAGATGATGGAACCATAAACTGTAGTAGCATTATGATCCTATATCCAAGGGGTGATAAGTTTTACAGTAATAAATCAGTTTAGATTTAGAGACGAGCTGACAACACCTCTGACATGGTATCTGATGTTCTTCCAAATGAATTAGCTGAATCAGTCGAGGAGAAAGAGAATAGGAATAAAAATAAGAATAATAAGAATAAGAATGTACTATACCAGGAGGGGATGGAGTATCAATTGATATAAAAACACATTGAAAACAAATCAATATTCTTTCACAGTTCACACATTACCAACAACTAAAGCTTATTTACCACAGCTTATTACGCCAATATGAATACCTATTACGCTTACAGTTTATCGATTAGTGAAACACTTATTCCAATAGCTACGGAATATCTCATTAAAATATTCTCTGGAACAAGGTTAGGTTAGGTTAGGTTATTAATAAAAATTTACAATGAAACAAGTGGAGAGAGAGAAAGGGAGAACAGGATATAGAGGAGGGGGAAGGGAGAGAATAGGAGGGATAGAGAGCGTGGGAAGGGAGAGGATAGAAGGGATAGGGAGCAAGTACGGGGAAATGGGTAAGAGGGAGGGAAGATTGGAGGAGAGAAAGCGTTAGAATGAAGGAGAACAGGTTAAGAGGGAGGAAGGGAGAGAGGGAGGAGGGAGAGTGTTAGAATGAAAGAGAACAGGGGGGGGAGGGAGGGAGGGGGGAGAAAGTTAGAAAGAAGGAGAGCAGGTTAAGAGGGAAGGAGGAGAACGGGAAGTAGGAGAGAAAGGGAGGAAGAGGATAAAGGGAGGAAGGGGGAGAGGGAAAAGAGAAAGGTAGGAAAGGAGAGAGGGAGGAAGGAGAGCGTTAGAATGAAGGAGAACAGGTAAAGAGGAAGGAAGGTAGAGAGATAGAGGAGAGAAAGTGATGAAGAAGAGAAAAGGAAGAAGGAAAGCATTTGGATGAAGAACAGGTTAAGAAAGAAGAAACGAGAGAATATTGAGCTGAAGGATGGAAGGAACTATGATAGATTAAGACAAAGACTAACCTCCTTTTTTCCTTGAGTCGCTGGAATGACGCAGAGGCAGAAAGAGACGAAGAGAGTGAGGTAGGCGGCGATCCAGCCCATGTATAACACGTCTTGATGTGCAGGGTTCTTGAGTTCCTCGTACTGGGTGGGGAATGGCTTCATCCGGGAGGCGTCGAACCACCCAGGCGACGAAGGAAATACGCTCATGGTGGTGGTGGTGGTTGTTCTGTAGGTTGTGGTACTGATTAGCTGTGATGATTTTTTTTATGTTAGGTTTAGTATAGTTTGGTAATGGTGGTGGTGATGAGTGATGATGATAATGTTGGTGGTAGTAATGGTGGTAGTAGTGGTAGTGGTGGGTGATGATGGTGGTGGTAGTGGTGGTAATGGTGTTCATGATGATGATGATGGTGGTGGTAGTGGTGGGTGATGATGATGATGGTGGTAGTGGTGGTAATGGTGTTCATGATGATGATGATGGTGGTGGTAGTGGTGGGTGATGATGATGATAGTGGTGTTCATGATGATGATGGTAGTGGTGGGTGATGGCGGTGGTAGTGGTGGTAATGGTGTTCATGATGATGATGGTGGTGGTAGTGGTGGGTGATGATGATGATGGTGGTAGTGGTGTTCATGATGATGATATTGGTGGTAGTAGTGGTGGTGGCTGTTGTTGATGACGGTGGTGGTAGTGGTGTGGTGGTAATGGTGTTCATGATGATGATGGTGGTGGTAGTGGTGGGTGATGATGATGATGGTGGTAGTGGTGTTCATGATGATGATATTGGTGGTAGTAGTGGTGGCTGTTGTTGATGACGGTGGTGGTAGTGGTGGTGGTATTAGTTGGTAGTGGAGTTGTCATAACAGTTTAAACCCAGCCATTAGTAAAGGTTAACCTACCACAACAAGTTCTTATATTGGTGAAGTGTGTAGGTGTACATGTGTGTACAGTAGGTGTACTTGTGTGTAGGTGTACAGTACATCTATGTGTAGATGTACATCTGGGTAGGTGTGCATGTGAGACATACAATCTTAAACCTAGAATGGGTTTACATACACTGTACACTCGCACCAAAAAGTATCGGTGCAGGGTGAGATCGACGAGTTCCAAAACGTTACGTATACACTGTGATATGTCGGGAAGGTTGGTAATTGTATCCTCATAACCCCCCCCCTCCACTAGGTGTTGCCATATGGCTGACAATCAGGGCTGCCAACATAAGGCTTTCCCAATACCTATCGTCACTGGTCTCAAATTGTTCACACTACAGTATGCACCGATACTTTTTGTTGCAAGTGTACATGGTGTAAATTACAGTGTAGATGGTGGTAGATTGTGATGAAGGTGATGGTGGTAGATTGTGGTGAAGGTGATGGTGGTAGATTGTGGTGAAGGTGATGGTGGTAGATTGTGGTGAAGGTGATGGTGGTAGATTGTGGTGAAGGTGATGGTGGTAGAGGTGACAGGTCGTAGTAACGATGGTGATGATAGGTTATGGTAGGTTATGGTAACGATTGTAAAAGTGGTGGTTGGATTGTCGGAACAGAATTAGTTGTGGTGATAGATAGCAGTGGTAACTTGTGTTCAGTGTGGATCACACTAAACACACTGTGTGGTGTTGGTAGGTTATGGTGGTAAGAGTTGGTAACAATGGTAATGGTGCAGGGTTGTGGTTACGGTGGTAGGTTATGGTAACGATGGTAATGGTAGTTGTTGGTTGTGGTAAATGATAGTGGATGGTGGTGCTGCTAGCTGTGAAGAAAGCATGGAAATAATAATTTGTGAAATAGTGATAACGATTATATATACATATATATATATATATATATATATATATATATATATATATATATATATATATATATATATATATATATATATACATACTGTATATTGTCTGTACGGTATATATAAATTATAACTATTCTTCTACTCTACATAATAACTCACTCTACCACTTTATACCATATATATATATATATTAAAAAAAATAGTAATACTGTTTGAGCACGTATCCTCCAGTTGTTGTGGGGTTCGCCTGGTACTGTTGGTGCTAGTTATCATAACATCCTGTCGTAGGCGAGATAGAGCAGCTTAAAGAAATAAGATTTGTTAATGTCTATCTGTCTGTCTGTCTATCATTAAATCTTGCATTTTGTATTTCAAAAATAAAAAGTCAGATCCACGAAACGCAGGAGAATCTTGAAGCGGAGTACAATTAATGGCATTTCCTGTTTTACTTTTCTTATTATCGTTTAATGTTAAGTTCATTGACACAATATTGGGTAACACTGTATCTTCCGTTTCTTTCTATCCGTCTTTCTGACTGTCTATGAACAGTATCAGTTTATCTATGAATCATTCTATTTACCTATCGATCTAAACAGTATAGTGTATTTTTCTTAATCTCTGTTTCTCCCTTTCTATCTACTTTTCCTCCATTTATCCCTATCTGTCTTTTCTACCTGTTTATCTCTTCATCTGTCTATCTATGTATCCATCTATCTGTTCCTCTTTCTGTCTCCATCTCCCCCCAAGATAGATTAAGGAATCGTGCTACCGTAATTCAATACTAATAACTGCCCTCGTATAAAAAAAAAAAAACACGATCGTAAACCTCGCTTTAATCTCCTTCAGTCAAATGGCTCCCGATGTTTGAAGCACCTGAACGTAACTGCTTCCCCGTGCTTAAAATATACCCTGGGTTACGGCAGCGGTGCAGTGGAAGTTCGACGACAATATTTTGAATATGGCCTTGTGTGTGTTGTAAGTTTTAGTCTGCAAGTTTAAGAGTAAGTTTATTTATATCAATGCTGGTAAGTTTTAAGCTTAATTAGAACTGTATTTGCACTAGGGCGACACACTTCTACTTACCTAATGCCTTTGATGTTAGTGAAATCAACGAGTTATTATAATATCTACTACATGTTCTAGTACACGGTGGTATAACGGTGTGAATATTAGTCATGAGAAGTTTATGTATACCGATATTATTTTGAAATCTCAGCTTTTATTCCTAAACTGAATAACAGTCATCTCTAAATTATCCCTTTTTTACCAACAAATCCTGGATCTCAAATATTTATGCACTTATTCGTATTGTAAGTATATCAAGAGGACAGAATTCAATTATTTTTCGGTAAAGTCTCAGTTCAGTTTCAACATAATTTTGACCGTGCTCTTGTGAGCGTTGCAAAAGCGTCTCTAAAATTTGTAGAAATAGTTAATGTATGACTTATTGAGATTTCTGGCCCAGAACGAGAATGACAATTAACACAACAAAAAATGTATAGTTTGATGACAGGAGGCCCTACTGTTGGGGTTTGGTTAACACTGATTATGAAAAATAAAACAAATCATTATTAATGCCATTTGTACGAAAAGGGATGAAGACCCACTACCAATGGCAACAAAATCCACGTATTTTAGAGAACACTGGTAGGATGATTATATGTATTTTGATTCCCCAATGAAGACAAAGGGCGCATAATAACCACCACTGGCGCTGGAGGCTGAAGAGATAACGCCTGGTTGTGCTTGAACATGAACATAACTCACAAGTCTACAGTAAATAGTTGTCCTTGAGACTGTTGGCAGGCCCTCTGATTGAGTGAGACTGTTTTTGTTGTCACCAACGAAGAGGAGGATGTAAGTTTGATTCACCAGTTAAAGAAAGGCTGTATCTTGACCCACACCGCCGTAACGGAGCACTTAGCGGGCCCTCTATCTCCCTTGACAGAGTCGCTCGGTTGTGCCACACTTATGGAGTGGCAGCCATGTCTGGGAGGGGCATTTCCTTTAGTATGGTCTGTGTGACGCGCGCAACTCACGATAACGGATACTTTCGTAATCCTAATGAAACTGAAACTAATTTCAAGTAACTTAACCGAGGAGAAATAAATTCGCCTAACTTTTTTTCTTTTCATTTAGGCGTCAAAAAAGAGGTGACATTGTGATCTTCTTCACCGAATTTTACATCACATATCAGAGACAATGGTAAAGAGGGGAATGTTATCCCACCAACTTGCTGTCAAAACCCAAGGTAGTAGGCGGCTACCAAACAGGGAGGTACTACTGCCTGGGAAGATAGTGGAAGCATAATGTATTGTCTAATGGTAGATCCTGCTGCCATATGGCATCACAAAAATTGTGACCAAGTCCCAGGTTGCTGATCTGACTTTCTGCCTCATTTACACACAATTGCAGGGTCTCAATGGTTTCTCTTATTATTGGCAACACAACATGCATATATTGTATCTCACTTTTGATTTTTTTTTAATTTTTGTATATCTTTATTATTATTATTATTATTATTCTTATTATTATTATTACCGTGTTGATATTATTGTTATCATTATTATTATTATTATTATTATTATTATTATTATTATTATTATTTTATTTATTTATTATTATTTAAATTTTTTTTATTATAAATTTTAATTTTTTTTATTATAAATTTTATTTACTTTGAATTATTATTATTATTATTATTATTATTATTATTATTATTATTATTACTATTACTATTACTATTATTATTATTATTATTATTACTATTACTATTACTATTATTATTATTATTATTGTTAATATTATTATTATTATTATTATTACATTTTCGCCCCCAGGCCTCGATGTGGGTCAGTGACCTGTGCCCGGGTGGGCTAATCCCCGTAACAAAAAAATAAAAGAAAACTGTATCATAAATATCCACACCTAACCTAACCTGGCTCACTTAAACCTTAGCAACAGAGAAATTAATCAGTTAAGCTGCGACATAGAGGCAGCGACCAAAATAAGAATGAGATTACTCTGAGATAGGAATATAGCTAGTGTTATGGGACATACTTCTCTAGGGGTTGTTATAATGTTCCACAACATGAAAACACAAGGGAAGATAAACGGGGAACGGAAATATTCATAATACTCTATAAACTGTTATGATATATTAAAAATTAAAACATATTTACGCTTTATACTAAAAAAAAAGGTGAAAATGAAAGTAAATCAACTATAACTGAGAACTAGCACCTGGAATAAGTGTTACGTATCACAATACACACTATAATTATATTCCTAAATCATATAAACAAAGTAAACTTAGCTGTGAGGTGACCACTCAGTAGCACAAACACAAAACGCTCAGAGATACCGGATACCCTTACACAGCGCAGGGCAGAGCCGGTCAGAACAAACAGCACGTCAAGAAGCCGGGGGAGGGAGTCAATGACAGCTACTGGTAGACCTACCAACTAACCTCACAGAGTTGACAGGTTGTTTATTACTCACTACAAGAATGTAAACATTGACACAAATAATCCATAATTTACCATACTACAATATACTATATAACCTACAACAATACCTATCACAACAAAACATAATACAAACCTAACATAACACATGTAAACTGAGAAACAATAAACATAATGAATAACTCGTTCCTTGAATAGGCTGACTACCTAGTTTCCATCGCACTAGGGAACAAAAATACGCTAAGAAAATTTAAGTCTTTGGAGGGTGCCTCCAAAGACTTAAATTTTCTTAGCCTTTGTCAATTCCCAGTTCCATTTGTGGTGCAAGAAAGATACCGCGAACAAACTTTTAAAATATTCATGAACGTCACGTAAACTCCACAATAAAATTATTCAAAAATGCAAAAAGGTTTCAGTATTCTACATCCTTTAGTCTCAAATATTCGTAAGATATTTCGTTCCATTTATGGAGCAGAGAACGAACCCAGTTAGGGTAATATCGACGTCATTATGGCATCCAATATCGAATGCGGGTTTGATTTACCTAATTTAACCTAATAGGATACAATCTGGCGTATTCACTAGGGAGAAATATTGATGTCCGAAACTGGTAACTCTACCTGTGCATTGAACCTGGTCACAGGCCGAGTATCGGCTTATTTATAAGTAAAATATGAGTGTGACATACGCCAAGTGTCTCAAAAAATGTTTGCACACTACATAACAGATTTTTGTGGACATGGCATGAATGCTTGTTTTATAATAACAACATTGTCCTCAAGTTTATTTCCTACATGACAGGCCAGATGCTATACACTCATCTTTACCAAAGTTTACCAATGGTGCTAAATTATTCAGGGAATTTGAATATCTAAAGGAATGTGAATTTTACAGGACAAACTTTATCATCTCCGAGCATGGTATTGGTTGCTGAGGATCAATGCTCTACGCTGGCTATCAGGATGGTATGGAGATGTACAGAACCACATGTCCAGAAATATTGATGATGAAATTTTACTAATTGAAGCTGGATGTGTAAAGGAATTTTGAGTGTTTACCTTGATAATGAAATGAAGTTCTGATTTTATTATGAGCAGATGGTGAACCTTGACTAAAAACTGGCTCGATTAATCGGCTTTCCATGTAAATCTGTTTGATCCTCGAGATATGCTAAAGATTATCAATTAAGTGATAACCTCTCAAGCGGTGGATTATGTTTTTTTTCCCACTTCATTCCCCTCTTGGTGACCCTACCAAATCCCCGTGGACTCCCTTCATAACCATAATCATTATTACCACAGTGATCAGAACATTTGAAGTCATCCAGTGAGTTATTTCAAAGCCAAATGCAAACTCAAAATGAAAAGAAAGAAGGAAAATTCTACCCGTATGACGAAATTAATAAAACGATCTTAGTTATTTCAGACTTCCCAGATTTTCTTGAAAATTTTCCAACTTTTCACAGCCCGCAGTGGACCTCAGTTTAGGGATCATTAATGGCAATTTTTACCTGTGAACATATCTCAGACCTCGTCCCAACCACTGTACTGTACAGTATATCTTATTAAACAGAGGTAGCGTGTGTTGAGAGAAATGTCACTCTACACTTATAAAGAAAATAAAGTTTTATACGTATAGAAAAAAATACTTAAGTCGTGCCATATAAAAGTAGTAAATTAGTTACAGCTAATCTCATTGATGATAATTAAGGATAATCACTAATTAAACTGGTAAGGTCAATCTAATTAGGCAAGCCCAGCTAATTAAGAGTTTACTATAGCGAGGTTGTGTGTGTGTGTGTGTGTGTGTGTGTGTGTGTGTGTGTGTGGAAGGGAATGGAGAGGGGTGGTTATACCGGGGTAGAAAGTGTACAGTTTTCACGTTTGTCTTAATTCCAATTATTTTTTCTTCGCAGGAAGCTCGTGCGAGTCTGTTAATGGTGATGGTGGTAGTGTTGATGAGGGTGGTGGTGATGGTTTTGGTAGTGATTGTGTTGGTTATAATAATGGTGGTGGTGGGAGTGGTGGTGATGGTGGCAGTAGTGGTGATGGTGGTAGTAATGGTGGTGGTGGGAGTGGTGGTGATGGTGGCAGTAGTGGTGATGGTGGTAGTAATGGTGGTGGTGGGAGTGGTGGTGATGGTGGCAGTAGTGGTGATGGTGGCAGTAGTGGTGATGGTGGTAGTAATGGTGGTGGTGGGAGTGGTGGTGATGGTGGCAGTAGTGGTGATGGTGGTAGTAATGGTGGTGGTGGGAGTGGTGGTGATGGTGGCAGTAGTGGTAATGTTTATACTAGTGGTGATGGTGTTGGTGATAGCGATAGTGAGAGTGGTGATAGTGATAGTGGTGATAGTGACAGTGGTGATGATAAGAGATGGTAGTGGTGATGGTAGTAGAGAAAGAGGTGACTTGGAGTTATGAAACAAAAGGTGTCTTAAAATAGGAGGTCGTGTTGCTTAATAGGGAGAGGAACTAATAGGCGGAGTAATACAAAAATCAGAGTTATTTAATAGTAATAGTCTTTATTGCTTCGGGTCGGTCAGATGATAGAGATAAGACTAACTATTTCTTCACGGCAAGACTGTACAATACCGCGTTGTGTTTTCTTATCGGTAGTTGGGAGTTGGTGTATTGTCATTGGTAGAGGATTTGTTCTAATGTGTGTTAATATCAGTTCGTCGTCAGGATAATGCTCTCTTTCCTTTAAGTCCTTCCCTTTTATCCTCCTTCCCTCACCTTCATTCTCCTTCCCTCATCTTCACTCTCTATTCCTCACCTTCACTCACTCTCCTTCCCTCCCCTTCACTCTCCCTCCCTTTCTCCTCTTACAACCCCTCCCTTCATCTCCCTTCACCCTCTTCACCCCTAACACAAATGAAAGTTGTCTCTCTTTTCAGAACTTTCTTTTTAGTGTTGTATTTTTATAAATTTCATAACCAGAGTGAATAATGGAGAAAAAAAAGAGAGTTTTCAATTCCCTTTCAACACATTGTACGTAAGAGAGAGACTCGAACCCATACAAAATCCTCTATAGTCGTGAGCTCTATTCATCTTTTTTTTTTGTCCCGTTCCTTGATCCAGAAATGAAATCTTCATCGTCACCCCCGAGACGTTAGTGAAAGGTCTAATATTCCCACAGTCCCAGTGTAATCTCGGCTTTTATTCCCAAGACGCACTAGCCCAAGTAGAGACGTGATCATATTTTCTCATCCCTTAGAAATAATCATGTTTCTTTTCCAGGATGAACTAGCTTGGGTAAAAGACGAACTCAAGGAGTAAGTCAGTCAGATATGGTAACATCCTCTTGTCTGAGGGTAAGCAACCATGGTCCTCCACTCTTCATGTTTTGGGCTGTTTTTACTAATTCTCTCGATTTTGTATCTCTTCGGGGACTCATTTGTTAAGTTCAGTCAACCATCCCATTACTGTCTTCCCCTCTTACTTCTCGGGTCAATTTCACACATCAAAATTTCTATCACTATCTTCTTATTCATAATTACTGTATATGGTCATATTATCTCATTG